AAAAAAAATATTTTAATGAATTGCCTAATGCTTCATTTAAATCATATAAACATGAAGGTCAATCAGCAAACATTAATCGTTGCTACAACTGTGGTGCAAAGGGTCACCGTTCTAGTTCTTGTCCTGATGCTAGTAAAGGATTTAAGTGTTTTTTATGCCAGGAATTTGGTCATAAAGCATCATCATGTTCTTATCGTCCATCAACTAGTCGACCAAATACTGATAGAAGTCAAAGAGATGAAAATGTTAAAATACAAGTGAATCAAGTTATTGATGGCATATATCCTACTAATCGTATAAGTAAATTAGTTGATATACAAGGTGTAGAAACTAATGCTTTAGTTGATACTGGTAGTGACGTGAATCTCTGTCGAAGGTCATTTATGTTGAAGTTAGATGAAATTACAATTCGTAAAGATAAAACTTTACTAGGAGGACCAGGAGGAGTTAAGTTCTACACAGAAGGTGTATTTACTTGCAAATTAAGTGTTGATGGATCATCATATACTACTGATATTTATGTTGTTCCTGATGAAGCCATTACATGTGACCTGTTAGTAGGAAAAGTTATATTTCAAACAAGTGCTGAACTGCACATAAATCCTAAGTGTGTGAGAATAACTAAATTTGAAGAAGAAGAAAATCAAATAATGTCTATTAATATACCTTGTAATCAGCTCAACATAGGTGCATCAACTTATAAAGAGGAAATTAATAATATAGTGAAAGATTATGAACCAAATAATGTAAAACATGCACCGATTGAAACAGTTATTTTACTAATGGATGAAAAACCTGTATATCAAAAACCACGGCGCCTATCTCCAGCGGAAACATGTGAAGTTGACAAACAAATAGAAGAATGGTTACAAGAAGACATTATTAGACCTAGTTGTTCTGACTATGCTAGTCCAATAGTTTTGGTCAGGAAGAAAGATAACTCTCTACGTCCCTGTGTAGATTACAGGATGTTAAATAGGAAAATAATCAAAGATATACACTCTTTGCCATTAATAGATGATCAAATAGATAAATTACAAGGAGCTTCAGTCTATACAAATGCTTTTGTGGAAGAGAGAGATGAATTACGTAAGGAAGCACAAGAACAAATTTTTAAAGCTCAAGAAGAACAGCGTAAAACTTTTAATAAAAAGNTATTAAGAGTACACCTCTTTTGTCACACCTAGTGGGCAATATGAATTTTTGCGAACCCCTTTTGGACTGTGTGTGTCACCTCCTATTTTTCAAAGATATATTAACTTTGTTTTCAAAGATTACATTCAAAAGAGATGTTTATTAACATATATGGATGATTTAGTGATATTAGCTAGTAGTTATGAAGAAAGTATTGAACTTTTAAAACAAATATTGCAAACTGCTTCTGAATATGGACTACACATTAAATGGAGTAAGTGTCAGTTTTTACATACAGAAATTGAATATCTAGGATATCGAATTTGTAAAAATACTATAAGACCTTCAACATTGAAGACTGCTGCAGTTATAAATTTTCCTTTACCTAAGTCAACAAAAGCAGTGCAAAGTTTTCTGGGTCTTACTGGGTACTTTAGAAAATTTATAAAGGACTATTCATTGATTGCTAAACCTTTGACTGATCTATTACATAATGGAGCTAAGTTTAAATTTGGAAAAGAAGAACAAGATGCTATAAATATGCTGAAAAGAAAACTGGTGGATAATCCAGTGTTACATATATATAATCCTCATGCTGAAACGGAACTACATACCGACGCAAGTGCTAATGGTTTTGGGGCTATATTGTTACAAAAGGATGCTTATGATGGTAGTTTTCATCCAGTATACTATTCTAGCAGAAAGACCAGTGATGCCCAAAAAAGATATCATAGTTATGAACTAGAGGTACTTGCTATTATTGAAGCATTGAAAAAGTTTAGAGTTTATCTCTTGGGTATACAGTTTAAGATTGTAACTGACTGTGCTGCATTTACAATGACAATGAAAAATAAGGATTTGGCGACTAGAGTTGCAAGATGGGCTTTACTGCTTGAAGAATTTAGTTATACAGTTGAACACCGAAGTGGATCTCGTTTACCCCATGTTGATGCTCTTAGTCGATATCCTGTATGCTTAGCGATTGAAAATGAATTTTTGATTAAATTACGAAGAGCCCAAAAGATGGATTCGGAGATTAGCGCATTGATGGAAGTTCTAGCTGTTTCGACTCATCAAAACTATTTAATTGAACATGATCTACTGTACGAGATGAAAGATGGCCAAAAATTGTTTGTTGTTCCTAGATCCATGCAAAAGGAAGTAATCAGAAAAGCACATGAAATAGGACATTTTGGATGTAAAAAAGTTGAAGAACTATTGAAGAAAGAATATTCCATGTCAAATATGAAAACAAAAATTGAGAGTATTGTAAGAAATTGTATTCCGTGTATATTGGCAAGTCGAAAAAGTGGTAAGCAGGAAGGTTACTTGAATAGTATTAATAAAGGTGATTTTCCATTAGTTACCTATCATATAGATCATTTGGGACCATTAGCTGCTACAGCTAAAGGATACAAATATATATTTGCAGTGATTGATGGTTTTAGCAAATTTTGTTGGTTATTTCCTACCAAGACTACTACATGTAAGGAAGCCATTGATAAAATGAAAACTTTGTCTACTACTTTTGGGAATCCAGAAAGAATTGTGTCAGATAATGGAGGAGCTTTTATTTCACAAGAATTTTCTGATTACTGTAGAAAAGAAAACATCCAACATGTAACAATTACTACAGGAATACCAAGAAGTAACGGGCAAATAGAAAGATTAAATGCAATTATTATTCCAGTCATTACCAAATTAAGTTTAGATCAGCCCGAACATTGGTACAAGAATGTTGCTCACGTACAAATTGCACTAAACAGCTCCTTTCAGAGAAGCATCGGTATGACACCATTCAAGTTGACATTCGGTGTTGAGATGAGACATCCTCAATATTTTGAGTTGACTAAAATAATTGAGGAAGAATATACAAATGCTTTTGTGGAAGAGAGAGATGAATTGCGTAAGGAAGCAAAAGAACAAATTTTTAAAGCTCAAGAAGAACAGCGTAAAACTTTTAATAAAAAGAGAAAGGAAGCACATAAGTATCACCTAGGTGATTTGGTTGCTATTTTGAGGACACAATTCAAGCCACTTTCCAAAATTCATAAAAAGTTTTTGGGCCCATACCAAATAACCAAACGTAGAGGACCAGACAGATATGAAATGGTCAAAATTGGTGAGTCTGAAGGTCCCATTAGAACATCATCTGGTGTTGACTATATGAAGCCATGGAGCCAAATAGATACAGATGATGAAGAAGAGATGGAAAACTGTCAATCAGTCGAGACGACTGATCAAGAAGAAGGTCGAAATGTGGGTACTATTGGTATCTAGATGGCACCACTTCCAGGGTCTGGAGATAGATAGTGGTATCAAGTACATAGAGGGAGATTAAATCAAGTCGTGAGTCGGCTAAGACGTGTCTCTATGTATATTCTGTAGTTTATAAGTGTATTCTGTTTTATATAATATTTCTGTGTTGTGTGAATATTTTATATAGAGTTTTCGTGCGTATTTAAATATATATGGGTTATTTTTGTTTGTTAACATTTAATAGAGTTTTTGTGTATTAATTTATAAATATATAAATTAAATAATATTATTGCGTCTTCGCTCTGTTCCTGTAATTGCCTGTTTGCATTTTCCCACATATATATATATATAATTCTTAATTTATTAGCTAATAATTACTATTTAGGATCATCCTTTAGTATTTATAAGAATGTCAACTTTATTATTTTAAATGATAACATATATATTCAATTAACTTATAAAATTAAAAATTATCTAATAAAGAAAATGACAGTACGTTAAAAGGGTTTATTTTAAAAAGTAACTATTAAATAATAGTTAATAAGCTAATAAATCAAGAAATATAAATATTTTTTAATATTGTTTTTATTTTTTAAGTAACCGAATGGTTTATATATACATAAAATAACACTTATTTTCATTGAAACTATTGGAAAATTTTAATTTATGAAAAGAGAAATATTGTTTGATTTCAAAAACTCTAAAATAATATATAGTTAAATAACTTCCCTTAAGGAATAAAAAATGTTAACATTAATTTTCTTATTTGAAAGCCACTATAAGTAATTATCATATTAAAATATGATAAAAAAATTTACAAACAATTTTGTATTGTATTAATAGTTATCAATGACTTTTGTATAGAGTAGAATAATTGAAATTAAGTTTAAAAACACTTAGCTTAATATGCCTAAACAGACAAATGGTTGATAAGATAAAAAAAATTATAAGAACACAATTGTTTTTAAATGTATTCTTTATCTTATTAAGGTAAAAATAGATTTTCATATTTAAGAAAATTAATGTTAAGGTTTTTTATCCCTTTTTCTTTTTTTTTTTTCACGACAGGCATTATATGGGCCGCCCTGGAACTGCAGTGTAGCATTACTTCAGGGCGGCCCACGCCGTCTTAATAATTCACACCACCACATTGCGAATCAGCCCAAAATTAATCAAGAGCTAATTCACAATGTGGTGTGGCCCCTCCCGTTAACCGGATCCTGCAGTGGGAACCGTTAGGGAGGGTTGGCAAAATAACTTACTAACAAAGACACAAAAGCAAGAACAAGAACCTAAGGTACCGGCCTAAACCAGCGCCTCAAGTCCTCCTGTGCCGGGAAGGCGTGGCTGCCTCTGTCTCAGGCGTTCCGCTTCCTACTTCTTTAATAAGACGGATTCGGCGAACGCCTGGAAGAGCTTTTACGACTCCAGACTCCTCAATATCAGGTCCACCATGGACCCGACTCGGAACGTGGACCCTAGTCGAGACTCCAAAGAGTCCAGCTCCTGGGCCCACGCCTCGCACCAGAAGAAGGTGTGCAGAGCGCCATCATCTTCTCCTGGGCGATCCAAACAGTGGTCGCACGTCGGTGCGGCTACTTTACGAATACGGTGTACGAAATAAATAATATATTAAGACTGTCATTGAAATATTAAAAATTAACATCCTCTTAACTTTCATTAAAATTGTTATAAATAAGAAAAAAATATCTCACCTGTCTCATCTTTGATTTCTTCAATATACTCCATTCCAACTAATAATACATCATTGGAATCATTTGCAGAAATGTTATTAGCCATTAAGGGTGTCACAGGTTTAGGTTCTATTTTTATAGGAGGGGCCATCATAGAAACATTTGCTTCTACTTTTGCAACTGAACCCAATTTTCCAGCTAAATAAATAAAATAATTTAGATTTTCAAACACACTTTTTTTTAAATTAACTTTAATTACTAACCAGGAATGAAATTCACTTTAGGAGCTGCTATTTTAGAAATAACTGCTGTATCCTCATTAGGTGGTGGAATTGGTTTTCCAAGTTTAGTATGCAAGTTATAAACCTTAAAAAAAATTTATGTTAAATAAGGAAATTTATGAACTCAATAAACAAAACTAAGCTTAAAATAGAATTTGAAGTCATCAGATAATAAAATCAACATTCACTATTCAGAGAGCTGGGTGTAGAATAATGTTATTTCATCATTTAAATATACAAATAAAATAAATTTACGACTTTAAAATTTGAATATTCACTATGCAAGTGTGTAACTTGATACAAAATTTTGTTATTAGGAGAATTTATTAAGAATTAATTTGTGACACTATGATTTGAAATATAAATAAATAAATAAATATATTAACTTGGCTAACCATGGAACACTCGTTGTAGACATAAGATAATGTTTCTAATTTTAGTAATAAAGATTAGAGATAATCATTTCTGTAAAAAGCGCGTTAAACATTATTACTGTCCATGGAAAATAAATCGCATACTGTTACCATTAAATCACATAATAAGACAGTGTTACTGCCTTCCTTTACATAATATGGACTAACATTCGACACCATAGGATAATTGTAAAAAAAATCAAAATTTAACAAACTTCAAAATGCTGTATAAATGTAACTACTGAATTAAAATAAGAAATTATGATATCAAAATTTGTCTTTAAAACTTATCTATAAAATGCCTATCTTGAAGTCTTAAAAAAATTAATACTTAAAATATTTTTTTTAATTGAGAAAAATAACATAAAACATATTTTAAATATAGTTCTATATTGTAAAAATTGATAAAAAAAAAAGTATAATATGTTATATAGATCATACGTTATATGAGTTGTCGGGTAGATCTGTTCCAACCTGTATATATGCGAGTACCATTGATGTTTAGATGGAATCACTTCCATACATATATATAACTAGTATAATATATTGTAAATATTACAATTTATTTATCCCATCAAATAAAGGTAAATATAAAAATTTACAACCTCTATTAAATTATCAAAATTCCTATAAATATTTGACATACTGAATAAAGAAAAATAATATCTCTCATATTCAATTGTTACAAATACAAAAGAAACTCTACTATAATTAGGATGTAGTATATTGAGACAAGTATAGATTGATATCAGATGAACAAATTCTTCTTGTAAAAAGATATTTAATTGGATATTAAAAATATCATATTAGAAGAAAGATAATTGACTTCTTCATAAATTTTATTACGATTCAGTTTTTCAAATAAGTTATTTTAAATTGTAAAAAAAAAAAAGAATCCAAATTAGCCGTTTTTAACAATAATTTTTTGAGATATTTTCCTTAATAAAAATAAAATTGAGGAATTTTCTTCAATTTTTGAAGGGCAATATCTTCGATTAAATATAATTAGGGTTCTTTAGAACAACAATGACAGTTTAATAAGAGCTGAGAATTATTATGGACACAAAAAATGGAAACATGGTAAAATCAATGTCTTCTCACCTTTGTATAGAAGCTAAAATTCAGTTTAATTTCTAGTCATACTTTAAACATTTGAAAAAATGTGTTTATAATCAGATAAATTGCTCAACATAAAATTTCAGAGAGCTGGGTATAGTTATTTTTATCATCATATTAAGTCTAGTAAAAATTATAGAGATTAACAAAGTCAGTATACAAAACTCCACAAAATACATTCAGAGAGCTGGGTATAGTATTTATATCATCATTTAGATTGGTAATTTAATTTAATTATAATAAGAAGTTTTTTAATAAAACTTTATGAGACAATTATCTTAAAATATAATATAACGTATGGCTCAGATAATATCACTCAACATTTAGTTTCAGAGAGCTGGGTTAGTAATATTTCATCACTGCAATTAATTTGATACACATAAAAAAAACTTTAACACAATACATCATTACTTTTTGATGTTTAGATCCCCTTAAATGAGCTGCATAAGAATCTGCACCAGTGCAAGAAATATCACATAAATCACAATGAAAGACTTTGGTGGCAGGATTATTAGATGGTTTACTAGTAGTAGTAACAGATAGCTTAGCATTAGCTTCACGCTTTTTGTGTTTTTGTCCATCAAGATGTTCTTTGTAAGTCTACAAAACATAAACTGTTTTTAGTAAATCTATAAATTTAATTATAACTCATAATGATTTACGATGAACATTAGAAATAAATTCAAATAAACCAATTTTTTAAATTATAGTATCAGAATAATTTAAACTTATTGTAAAATACATAATTATACATTTTAAGAACTATCTATTTTATAAAGGATATAATATAATAAGTCTTACAATATTTTTAACAAATTCAGTCTTATTTTTATTTTTAAGTAAAATATGACTCATAATCAATTTTTTAACCAAGTTAAAAAAATATTTTCAGAGAAATCTATTTTACAAATTTAAACTTTTTTGAACTTTTAAAATTGGAAAAATTATTCACTTTAGTTTCAATGCGTACAACATTTATGTTGTAAACACTGTTTTTTCTATAAATTACAATTGTAAATTAAAAAAAAAAAATGATGAGTACACATTGTTAAGTCAGAAATGGTTAAGTTATAAATGATTTGATTTATCAGCTAATATTACAAAAAATTCCAAAAATTAAACAAGGTTACTTCAATATTATTCTTTCAATAACAATTTATTCGATGTTAAATAAATGAAAATGACAAACAATTAAATTCTTTAATTTGATTACCTGTGTTCCTGCACAACTTATACGACAAACTTCACAATAATGGATTTCTTGAGATCTATTAGCAAAATTTATCCTATTACCACCTTTAACACCCCCAGCAAATCCAGATGTATTTTTCTTAAACCAGTTTTGTCTTTTCTGAGCATTATTAGGACGTATTTGATTTTGATTTTGCGTTGGAAAATTAGTATTTGAATAAACTGCTGCCTCATACCCAGGTACAGTTGATGCTAAAATAATTTTAATAATAATTTATAAAAACTAATTAAAAAATAAAACAACCAATTTTATACCTTTAGTTACTGATTGATTAGGAGTAACTGGAACAGGTTGTTGTATAGGATAAGTCACTTTTTGTTGCATAGCTGAACTTGTAGCATAAGCAGCTGCATTCACTTGACATGGTTTTTTGGCAATAACACCAGTGGTATAGGTGGTAACTGCCTAATATTATAAAAAATAGTCTTATATTATAATTTAATTAAATAATACAAACACTTGAATTAATATCAACAAAAATACTGGTTAGAAATTATAACTTGAAAACATTACTCAGAAAAGATTAAGCCATAAATGGAATCAAACTGATTTCATACAAAATACAATATTTCATCATATATACATACACCAATTTATAAAAAGGATCTTAACATAATAAAATGTAAAAGTCATACTATTGTAATAAATTTAGTTACTCTACATTAATAATTATTAATGATTATATTTCAACAATTTTCTTAGATAAAGAAATTAATATGTTAAATTAGCTTCTAGTGATTACTACACATTAATATTTTTCAAATTGCCTAACTATCAAATAAATTTTAAAAAATACCATTCTTGTCTAACATTATTTAAGTGGGAAAATAAGATTATATATGTGTCCATTATTATTTTAAACATAATATAGTTAGTAATTGAAATTAGGATACCTGTAGGATTGAACTCAAAAAACACTCATATCTAAATATATGATAGATATAGTATAATTGTAAAAATTTATATCATAAAAATCATTGATATTTCCCAGTCAATTTGAAAATATCCAGACTTTCCAAGATTTCTTAAATTTTTAACAACCATGTACATAGTATAATACTACATAAGGTAAGAAATACAATTAATAATTGGATTGAAAGATACATAGTAATGGTACATGAAAAAAATTATAATAATAATATTGCACTTTATATTTTCCAACATTAAAATTTTAAATAAAGATATCTTAGGACTTTTAACAGAGTTCCATTAAGTTTAAATTTTTAAAATACTCAGACTTTACCACTTATTCTACTATGTTCAAGTTTGATTTTAAAATGTGATAAAAATACTTATTGAAATCATCAATTTATCAAATACATATAATACTATTGGTTCAAATAAAGCAATATAAAAATTTTAAAAAATTCTTCGCGTTGACTTATGATATGAATTTAATTACATATAAGTTTTTGAGACTAATATCAGAAAAGATTAAGCCAATGTATTAATCAGTATACATTTCATACAAAAGTTTTTCATCATATTTAAATAATTATAAGTTTGTTACAAAAAAAAATCATAAAGAAGTGGTTAAACATAACATTAGTACCAAATATACATTAAAATATTTTTATAAACAATTTATAATTGAGAAAATTCATAATAGATGAATTCATGTACTAACATTTAAATTTCTAGTACTTACTTGATATGGAGCATACTGAGGCTGAGTTTGATAAGTTTGTTGTGGTGGGTAAGTATTTTGTCTTGTGTCATAAGCAGCAGCACTGTTGTAAGCAGCTTTTGCTATTAAAAAATGAACATAATTAATAAAATTCAAAGAACAATTTTAACTTAATTACACTATTTAATTTTACAATATAAATATAGAATTATTTATTCAGTATATACTATATTGCCTTATAAAAACTCTTTCTTATGTTGTCCTAAAAAAAAGGAAAACTTACATAGCTATTACAACAAAATTAAATCCAAATACCGAAGCAAAATGTGTTCTTGAATGTATTAGGTAGACCACATTTTAAGAGATTTTAACCTAACTAGAAATTTAAATTTAAAAAGCATACAACTAAGAAAATGCTAAAAAACAACTGACTAATTTCGAAAACTTCAAAATAGACTTTTCCAAGAAATTAAAAAAAATTCTAAAGAAAAAGGGGTCAAGTTTTAAATATGAACATTCAGAACAAATATTAAAAAAATAAACTTTATGGAATATATCATGTAAATACCTCTTGTTGTTCAAAAGACTTTTTAATATAACATACCATAGGCAGCAGATTGTGTTGCTGCAGCAGTTTGATACGATGCTACATCATAAGCAGTAGCAGCAGCCCGTGGAGTAGTATAAGTTGCAGGCGGAACTGCATATCCTGGTTGTGGAGGTGCTTGATAACCAGTAGCAGTACTAAAATTTAAGCAATGTAAATATAGGGCAAAATAAATACAAAATTATTAATTTTAAGATAAACAAAATTGCAGGGCATTATTTTAAATTTCATTATATAGTGACAACTTATATTTCTATGCCTCTAAAAAATTATCATTATATCACAACTTTATTGTTTCAATGGAGCAATTTTAAACATTCGATCATTTAATATCAACCTTTTTAAAAGGTCATTCATCTAAAGGGGTAATTTCTCTTTCATAATCTAAGGTAAAAGGGAAGATTTAATTCTTTAGAACGCAGTTCAAATGAAAATTCAAAAATCATAAATTTGGGATGTATTTAAGTCATTTCAGGTGTACAGCTTTAAAAATTAACGATAGAGCTAGGCCAAGGGAGGACGACAGGGGCGATCGCCCCTTTTAAATACACCAGTTAAAAAATAAATTTTAACGTGTAAAAACCCAGGTGTCGTGGAATTTTAATTTAAAAAAATTACAAAATCAGTTTATTCGGAAAAATTTTGTAGTTTCAATAATCATAAAAACCTTTTCATTATTATGTATTATACAAAAAAAAAAAATTGAATACAATATATATCTTCCCACTAGTGACCTCGTGCAAATTATAACCTCTGTCCACCAGTTTTAAACATTGAGATGTTATACTAAATAGCATAGACTCTTTTAGAATAGTTAGTTATCAATGTCATAAATTACAATAAAATAAAATACTTACGCGTATTGGGTGCCGCCGTGGGTGAATCCAAAATAGTTGTTCGCAGCCATTTATGCGACAATCAATATACACTATATTCGATAGAAACTATGACGTTCAGTACATCACAATTAATTAAAGAAAAAACACTCATATACAAAATAAGCTTTTTGTAATAAATTGCTTACATAAAATATCGAACAATTAATTAATTCTTCGTTGAGAGTACAAATTTATAATTACAATAAAAATTTTAAGTTTCGGTGACGGCAATAAGTACTCGGCGTCCAAATACAGATAGAAAATGGCGTCAATTACCCCGGCAGTGCCGGTCATTAAAAAAGCGCTTGCTGTCATGCCGTAATAGTATGACCAACCATTTTACAAAAAAGCATTGCCAACCTAAACAGGTCTTATCATTATTAGACCGCCCATTGTGTAATTATACTTAGCATAATTACAAACTAAGATAAAATTATTTAATTTATTTCAGTTCATAGTATAATTATACTGTTATTAACGGATGAATCATACATTTTAAATATTAGAAGCCAACAAGTGTATAACTTAACCCACTATTATAAATAAGACAGGTTACTCAATAAGTTAACATTTTCTTCACTGCAGTTTGAAAAACGATTTGTTACTTCGAAAACAGCTGTCTGAGCATTGCGAGTTTTACAGTTAGCGCTCAAATGATCAATTTAAACTAATCAATGTTTAGTATAAAATATAACAAAATTAAAATTTTTAACGGAAAACAATTATCTAAATATAAACAGTGTATGCCAATTGCTTTATATAAATAATTTATGTGATTAAAAAAAATTATACAGATACATTTTAAATAAACGTATCCATGAATATGTCATTAAATAACTATTTCTTAACTATATTCACCTATAATTAAGGACCAAATGTTAATAAGTTTCTAATATAATAAATTAATATTATTATTAATAATATATAATAATTTACTTAATTAATAGTATAATTTCAACAAAGAGTTTCTTTATAAATATTTTGAAAAAAAAAATTATTTATTCTTGATAAAATATTAATTTATATTTTTTCATTATGGTATCAAAAAAATGTAGTATACAAGGTTGTCAGAGCAGTAACAAATCAAAATTTGGTGTACCCAATAACTTAAATAGTTTATAGAAAAAAAAACTATAAGAGTAGAGTTTTATAAAGTTAATAGGGTATATTCTATACATTTTAAAAATTATAACATAATAAGTACACGGTATTCTAGAGAAAGTCAAAATAAACATTCTGCAAGAAATTTTGCAAGTTAGAAATCTTCAATTTTGAAATTTTTTCTACCATCAGAAATTTCTATAAAAAATGGAAATTTAATAAAATAAATGTATAAAATTGTTTTTATGATATATTTAAAATAGTTTATTGATAATAATGTTTGCCATCAGTCATAATTAGAGACAAGATTTATAAATATTTAAAAAAGTTTAAAATTTAAAAAAATTAATAAAACAAAAAAAATATGTATTTTCTTGACTAATAATGCTATATAAATTTATATGCAAAAAGTTACTTAAATCAATCACTTTAACACTTGGACCAGATATAAAGCCACGAATAAATGTCAGTATGTCATTGTGCACAACACCCTCTGTTTTCCAAGCAGAGTTGATGGCGATACTGGTAGGGGCTCAGAACCTGCTGGTATACAAAAATAGGAAGATAACTATCTTAAGTGATAGTCAAGCGGCTTTGAAAGCACTCTGTAAGGATCAGGTGAATTCAAAGCTGGTCCTCGAATGCAGGGAAACTTTAGAATCACTATCGAGGTTCAACAAAGTTACATT